TATGGTGATTATGTAAAATTGTACCTTCTTGCAAAACATAAATTTTTTGTATACTTTAAATGTATATAAATGGCTTTCCCACATGTGTTCCATTTCTTACTATTTTCATTGGGTACTGCATTCTCACGATGAAGCCACACGGCCGAAGTGGACATCTGTGATTTGTAACTACTGCAGCATACTTAGTTGTGTACTTCATTTCTCCCTATCCTAACCCCCTGCATGGATACTGTATGAAAGTGTCTTCGGGCTATTAGGGTGCATGAGCATGCATATTTTGTTCTCGACATTAGCTGCATCTGTGTTTCTACACTCCCATCAGAACTGCATTACGATTCCTATACGCCCACCCCCACCGTTTGGTATTTAATTTTCTAATTTTCCTAATTCTAAAAGGTATAGAGTGGTTGTTTGGAATTTGCATTTTTCTAATTACTAAGGAGTTTGACAACCTTTTGCATTTCTTCTGAAATTTGCCTTTTCACATCCTTTGCTCATTTTCTCATTGGCATTCTCTTGATTTGCAGTCCCTTCTATAGACTGCATTTAATCACTTGTTGATTTCAACCCTTTTCCCCCTCTCATTCTGTCATCCATCTATGGATCTTTTGTTACACTATTTAATATAATTAAATTTCCTGGTTTTGCTTCATATCATACTTTTTTTAAAAGATTTTATTTATTTACTTTTAGAGAGTACGGAAAGGGGAGAGAGGGAGAGAAACATCAATGTGTGGTTGCCTCTTGCACACCCCATACTAGGGGCCTGGCCCACAACCCAGGCATGTGCCCTGACTGGGAATCGAACTGGCGACCCTTTGGTTTACAGGTGGGTGCTCAATCCACTGAGCTACACCAGCCAGGGCTAAATTTAGTTTTAAATCTTCATCAATACCATCTAATATAAAACCCTCGTCTCTATCATGTCACCTTTATAACTTATTAAGTTGCCATATAGCTATGTTCGGCCACTGAGCTTTATTCACTTGCATTGTTTTAAGGCCGCATCAGTTTTTACTTTTTTTTTTTAAAGCCCTTGCCTGGGCTTTTTTTTTTTTTTTAATTTTATTTATTTATCTTTAGAGGGGAAGGGAAGGAGAGAGCCAGAGAAACATCAATGTATGGTTGCCCTGCATGCATCCCCTGCTGGGAATTGGCCTGCAGGGAACTGGCCTGCAACCCAGGAATGTGCCCTGACTGGGAATCGAACCGCGATTGTCTGGTTCGCAGGCCCGCGCTCAATCCACTGAGCTATACCAGCCAGGGCCCGTATCAGTTTTTACTATGATTTTGTAAAATGTCTTAATATCTGGTAGGGAAAGTCCCCTTATAAGTTATTTATGGACCTTATTCTTCCATACAAATTTTGAAGTAAATTAAGGTTCCTCAAAAAATCCAACTGGAATTTGGTTGGAATTACATTGGTTTCCAGATTAAATTTAGAATGTTCACTTTTACAAGTCATCTCACTGGGAGCATGCAATGCTTATCGGGTCATTTCTGTCTTATAATTGTGAGAATTTTAAAGTTTCTTCCAAGTAGATTTTGTATATCTTTGGTTAATCCCTGTATACTTTCTAACTTTTGCTGCTATTGTGAAATGATGTTCTTTGGACTTTCATAGGCTGACTCTACTCTGGTAGCTTTGCTAAATCTTTTTTTTTTTCCTTAAGATTTTATTTATTTATTTTTAGAGGGAAAGGGAAGGAGAGAGGGAGAGAAACATCAATGTATGGTTGTCTCTCGTGCATTCCCTGCTGGGAACTATCCTGCAACCCAGGCATGTGCCCTGACTGGGAATTGAACCACGAGCCTCTGGTTCTCAGGCCTCAATCCACTGAGCTACACCAGCCAGGGCCTTGAATCTCTTAATAGTTCAAATAGTGTTTTGATTGTTGGATTTTCTAGGTATGTATTATTCACAAAGAGTTTTTTTCCTTTTCTCCTCCAAACCTGACACATTACAGTCCTTTCCTTATAGTGTGAGCCAGAATCCATTCTACTGTGATAGGCTTCCTCACTGAGTCTTGGTCTTAAAGGGAATGTACTCACACCTCTTCACTAATGATGCTTACTCCTTTTTTTTGGTATATAAATCTTAACAAGTTTTAAAAAATCTGTTGATAGCTTGATGCTTATATTTTTCATAAGTAGATAAAAACCTTACCACATGTTCCTGTAACAATCAAGATGACTGGTTTCCCTATTGTCCCATTACTGCGACAGGTTTTCTGTGGTAGGAGTATTAAATATTCCTGAGTTAAAACTTACTTGGTCATTTTTTAAAATACACCCTTATATTTGGTTAACTGATATTTTCAACTGTGAGTATACATTCATAAACAAAATGAACTTTTTTTCATTTTCATTTAGTTTTGGAATCAACATTACATTAACTTTAAATTCCATTTTCTCAACAATGATTACCACCCCGGCTTTTTGGTTCGTAATTGGTGTGTGTGTATATATATAAACACACTTATGTGTATGTGTATTTATAACTTTACTCAGATAATTAGCATATCATACAATCCACCTATTTAAAGTGTACAATTCAATGGTTCTTTTATTCAGAATTGTGCACCATAAATAAAACTTTAGAATATTCCCATCACCCTAAAAGAAACCCCACCCCCTTTTCCAATATTTCTACCAACTTCCAATTTCCACCCTCCCCTGCACCCCTAACTCCCAGCCCTAGGCAATCACTCATGTTCTTTCTTTATAGATTTGACTACTCAGGACATTTGATGCCAATGGAACCACACAATAATTGTCATTTTGCATCTAGCTATTTTTACTTAGCATGTTTTCAAGATTCGTCCCAGTTGTAGCATGTACTTGTACTTTATTCCTTTCAATGGCTGAATAATATTCCATACTGTATAGATATAATATATCCTACCCATTTGGGTTGTTTCCACCTTTTATTATTCCTAACTATTCCACCTTATTATTCCCAACTATTATTAGGTATAATAGTTAGAAACAGTCATGCACAAGTTTTTGTGAGGAAATGCTGGGTAAAATGGCAACTTGTTGAGTTGCTTTAGGAATTGCCATTGTATATTCCAATCAGCAATGTAGCTTTCAATTTCTCCACATCCTCACCAACGCTTTGATTACAACCATCCTAGTGGTATCTCATCGTGGTTTTGATTTGAATTTCCTTGATGACTAATGACACTGAACTTTTTTTTTGTTTTAAGAAACTTTTAAAATCATTTTCAATGTCTCTTTTAATTGGTGAGTTTAATCCACTTATACCATTTCCATGTGGTTGAACACACTAGGTAGTCAGTTCATTTTTCTCCCTGAACATCTCCATCCTGATGTTTTTGTCCTCTTGTTCCAATCTGGACTGAATACCGTATTCCTGCTACAAAGCTGTTACCCTCCATTATGCTAAGCTGGCAGGTTTTGAAGATCCTGCCTTGATTTTCCCCCTTATTTTTTTGTGGACTGTATCCTTCAGTAGCCTTTAAAAACCTACATAAAAAGTAAAGTTTGAAATTTTGTATGTCCGAAAATGTTTTTAACTTTACACTCGAGGGCACCTTGACCAGCCACAGAATTACCAATTTTAAAAGCAGGTATCTTCTGAAACCTAAATCTCCAGTTCAACCGGCAAGTTTGATTTGATTAGCCATGAATATCCTGCAATAAATTTAGTCCAAATAAATTTGGTTTCTGAGTTTCAGAGAGGAAGTAGGAAATGTTCACTTAGCAAAGGATGCTTCAAAATTTATTATAATCTACGTGTTTCGGGCTTTTGCAGAGCATAAATTCAGATAGCTTTTGTCCTCAGAACTTTAAAGGCATTGATTCACCATTATTTGTCACCCAGATTTGCTAATGAGGTGTCTAGTGCACATGTCATTTTTGCTCCTAAGTGACTGCTTTTCCCCATCTCTTGGGAAACTTTTAACATTTTCTCTTTAGTTTTGCAGTTCTGAACCTTCACAGTACTAGGACTTGGTGTGAGGTTTTTTTCATTTATTACACTCAACACTCTGTTAGGCCTTTCAATATGAAAACTGAAATTCTGGAATAACCTCTTACATTATTTCATTTTAATAATCCTTCTTCCCCTTTAAAAAAAAAGCTTTTTAATTTTGTAAAACTGTTAGTCTTCTGTGGTTTTAATTTTTTCTCTTTGAGTTCTATTTTCAGAGATATTTCCTCATCTGCATCTTCCAACTACTTTAGAATTTTAAGTATTTTTAAAAGCGCTATTTTATAGCCCTGTTGTTTTATAAAGGCAGTATTTCCAAACATTTTTTAAACCAGCCATTCCCATTTACAACATAGTTGACATTGTCTCAACCCTAAATATCTTGAAAACATGGTTTCTCGTTGTTACATAGTACTCCATCAAAAGAGCAAATATTTTAAGCAGCATAAAGCATTATGAAATCTGTGTTTTTGATGTTTGGCCTACGAAGTAGCAGGAAGACAGGGTCAGTAATCTAGGTGAGAAATGAAAGACTTATTTCAGGCACTAGTGGTAAAGTCAAAACGACAGCTGACAGATTTTAGGAGGTGGGATGGCACAGAACTTGGTAAAAGACTGGTTAGAAGACAAGGGGAAAATCCAGAATTACCCTCAGGGTTATGGTTTGGAAAACAGCAAAAAATAACTACATTTCTCAAAAAAAAAAAAATTTTTTTTTGAGTACGTTCAACAGTTAGTTACCTATTGTTCAATCTCAAGTGAGTCAAACTAGATCATAGCCAAAATGTAAGCTGCATTTGTATATAGAAAAATATTTCCCCCAATATTACAATCTCAGAAGAAAGTCATTATTAACATTTAAAGACAAATGTAAAAGGTTCTAAAGTAACAATTGTGTTTTTCATGACAATATTACTAATGCAAAAGATAATATATTTACAAATATTTTTACAAATAATTTAATCTATAGATATTTTTATTTTTAATTAAGCATAAGAAAAGAAAACCTTTAGAGAAATTAACTTCATGACTAAGATTCTTTGAAGAAATATTTAAAAGGATGAAAAATCAGCAGTAAACAAAAATTCAGGTTCAAAATTATGAGTGAAACACTATGGAAAAAAATTTTATCACAAAATATTAGCATTTTTTTAAATAAAAACAGCCATTCTGCTATTATCCTTTTATTTTTATATAGTCACTTTGAGTCTCAAAATGAATTCTGGAAGATCATTTTTTCATAAGTATAATATCTGTTTACTGTTTAACCTACAACATTAAAGTATAGATACAAATGTCTACTAAACATGTTTCTTAAACAGATGCAAATCTTTTTATTTCTAAAAGAGTTTAATTCTATTTAGACTCATTAGTATATTTATATTTAAATACTCCAATGTTATCTATGTATATTAAGCAAGTTGGAGCTCCAGTGAAGTCTCATTTAGTTTTTTAAAAAATAAAGATGATTTAAAATGTAAAAAATTGAGTAAAAAAAAAAAAAAATACCCCAAACCACCTGTTTTTTTAGCCATCTACTTCTAAAAAGTCCTTATCAAAGCTATTTTTTTAAACCCAACATTTACTTTACTAACTCAACAGATGGGTTTTAAAAATGAAGAAAGTAATTTTACTTTCAAGTCACTGATTATATACTCAACTGCCTTTTAAAAAATACATAAAGACTGAATTAAACCATTGTCAACATTTTTCCAGGACTGTTTGCTAACTGGCTTGTTTTTACAATGAGCTTTAAACATGTCTTTCATACGTAGGACACAAAAATAATTATTTGCAACTATAAAATCTATGAAGTAAACTTCTAATGCAACATCACTGCTTTTTCCTTCTCTTATAAGAATCATTACTATGAGCTCGAACTCGCTGGTACACAGAGGATGATACCTTCATGCTGTCTTTCTTTGGAAATGTCTTCTCTATTGCTCCAGGTTTCCAAAGTAACAACTGTGCGTCTTCTCCTCCTGTTAGCAAAGAGTCATCCTGCATATTCCAACAGAAAGAACGGACTGTAGCGGCATGCCCCCCCTTAAGGCTGGCCACATGCATCAATCCTGATGTAGTACAACTCATTAAGTGAATAATTCCCGTGTTTGTTCCTCCAACAATAAATAATTTGTCCATCTTTTCATGATATAGGCCACCAATCAAGTAGTCCAAAATACCTCCTTTCACATGAATTACTTCTCTAACATCCTGGATGTTCAAACGCGTAACTGGTTCATCAGTATCCAGATGATTAAGATCCCACCAACAAAATCCTTCATCATGTGTCATGCAGTATATCTGTTTATAATCTTTCCCAGACCAACCAATATAACTTACTGATGAAACTGAGTTACAAGTCGTAACCAGTGCATCTTCTTCATTATCAGCACTAATATCAAATACATTTACCAGGCCATCAGTTGAACCTGAGACTACCATGTTGGGATTGCTGGGATGGAAACATACTTGAGTGATATCATCACTATGTGTTTCTGAGTATGCACCAAGTGGGTCTTTAGTAGTAGACAAACCTTGAGAATTCATTCTTGCATCCCAAAATACCAACAATGCATCATCATCAACTTTTTCTGTACCCGCACAAATGACATGATCATCACAGTTGATATCAAAACTGATAAAAATATTGGAAGGGTAACCCTTGAACAACTGGACAGGCTTTTCACTGGCTAATCGAGCATCCCAACATTTTACAGTGCTATCTATACATGACGAATACACAATGTCACAAGAATTTGCAAACCTGACTCCATTAAGTCCAGGATTTCCACTAAATTCTCGTAGTACATTTAACCTTTCTTTATCATATATTCTGATTAATCCATTAGAACATAAAACGGCAACCAAGCTTCCTTTTTCCGCCTGCACAGTCTTTGATGTGTCTATGCCAAGCAGATAAGTAGGCTCTTCAGTTCCTGAGGAACGTTGAACAATGTTCAGATTAGCAAACTGTTCCTCAATCTTCTCCATATCAGGAGTGGCACTCAAGGGCAGTAAAAATCTGTAATAAAAATATAAAAATTAAAATTAAATCCACAGCTCCTCTAAAACTGTAATTAAATCACAGACATTGCCTTCTGAAAATTGACATACAACAAGATAAAATCTGTTTTAATACTGTAATCATTTCCTACCATGAGGTAACTGAATTACCTCCTGTCTTTTCCCCTCTTATGACAGGATTTATTATTTTTAATTGTATTTTTCCATTACCATTTATTCCCCTTAAATCTCCCTCCCCATAATTCACTCCTGAACACCAAATCTACCATGTATACTTTGTGCCAGTAAGAGAATTTAAAAACATGTACATATACTGAGTAACTGTTTTTCAACTCAAACCCAATTACTGACCCTACTCATGTGTCCTCAGCACAGGTAAGGATCTCCACTTTGGAACCATCTGCACCTGGTCCCAGCTGCCTTCTACAACTTGGGAATCTAAACATAAATGTATAGGGGGAAAAAAAAGGTATCCCACAAAGAGGTCCATGCCTTAATCCCTGGAACCTGTAAGCATGTTAGGTTATATGGCAAAAACAAACTGAGGCTGCAGATGGAATTAAGGTTGATGATCAATTGACTTTAAAAGGAGATTATTCTGGATTATCCTGATGGGCCTGATCTAATCACCAGTGTCCTTAAAAGTAGAAGGAGGCAGGAGGTGAGAGTCAGGGGGAGATGTTCCTCTGGAAGAAAGGCACAGGGAGCTACGGTGCAGGTTTAACCAAAGGAGCTCAATACGCGGGTAGCCTCTAGAAACAGAAAGCTAGGTAGGAAGCATCTTCCCAGATGGAAATGCAGCCTTCAGGATTTCTCTACTGCTGAAGACCTACTGGTGCATATTCAGACACACATCGGGATATCATTCAAGCATGTTTAGTACTTTTGACCTCCAGAACTGTAAGATAATAAATGTGTACTGTTTCAAGTCACCAAGTTTGTAGTGATTTGTTACAGCAGCAGTAGGAAACTAATACAGTAGAGATTCCCAATATGGAATTCTGGAAAAGTGGTTCTCAGGCAACTGCAGCTTATAAATGGTGGAATTCAAACTTAGGCATTCTGGTTTCAGGGATTTTGCTCTTAGCCACCGCACTGTATTGCCTCTCAATAACAGGCTACATGTATAACAAGTACAAAGTCAGAAAAATATGCATGCCGAGTGACTTCACCACAGATCTATCTTGCTTTCAACACTGAGTATTCTAGCCTATTTCATTCTTTTTTTAAAACTGAATTTATTGGGGTAACACTGATAAAATTATATAGGTTTCAGGTGTACAATCCCCTAATACATAACCTGTATATTGTATTGTCACACTTTCATTCTTAAAATGAAGTGATTTTTCTGTTGCTTTAGTGATAGATTTTTAAGTGTTTGTCTTTTCATCTTTAAAAGGAGAAGTGTGTACTGACTCAAGAGTTGTCAGAAGGACTAACTGAGAAGTGTTTAGCATAATGTCTGGCAATCATAATACACATTCAACAAGTGTTATATAAAAATTAATGGTATTATCATTACCAATACCACTAACGTGACATGGGGGAAAATTGGGATCAGAGTGGACCCAATCAGCACTATTAGAAGAATGGGTATAAAATATTAAAACGTTGGATTTAGGTTAGAAATAGGAATAAGCATCCTAACTTGTATTCTGAATATTTAAAAAATTACAAAAAAGTTGTACGATACACACAGCCTTTTACCTCCCGGGTTCACCAATTGTTAACTTACCATTTTGCCATGTAAAATGTGTACTTTTTGAGCCCAGATTTTTGAGGGAAGAAATAAGGGTGCACATTATTAGTGAGTACAATGATTACATGCCAGGGACATAACAACAGGTATAATAATCCCATGTATAATGTGCACAAAACCATGGGTGCACATTATACACAAGAGTGCATTATACACAACAATACGGTATTGGTTTTCTCTGTCTCTATAAACACACATGCACACACATTATTTTTGAACTATTTGAATGTTAATTGCAAACATACCATTTCACTCCTAAATACTCTGGCATAGTGCACCTCCTCAATCTATTTTTTTCATGACAATGAATTTTTTTAAAAGTCCAGGCCAGCTGTCTCATAAAATGTCCCATATTCTGAATTCTTCTAATTGTCTCTTCAAGATTAGATTCCAGCTTAACATTTTTGGCAGGGATACTATTTACATGAGACTGGGTACTTCTTATTCATCACATGAAGGAGGCACCAAGTTTGATCACTCGTTTAAGGCAGTAACTGTAAGATCTCTTCATTTTAATATAGATTCCTTTCTTGCAGTTAGAAAGCAATCATGGAGTCATACACTGAAACTGTATGAATATCCTGTTATTCTCCAACAACCCTTCATCCAAAGATTTTAGCATCCCTGGATTACCCTTCCTTGAATCAATGATAATATTGGGATTTGCAGAAATAGTCACTTTCCAATTCTATCATTCTTTTTACATTATCTAGCATTCTTCTTTAAAGAAGAGCTTTTTCCTTTCTCTCTTTTTGAATATCACTAGGAAATTACCACTAGGAGTTTTTAAAGTTATTGTTAAAATCTATCATTTTCTAGTTCTTTTTTTTTTAAAGATTTTATTTATTTACCTTTAGAGGGGAAGGGAAGGAGAGAGGGAGAGAAATATCAATGTATGGTTGCCTCTCGTGCGTTCACTGCTGGGAACTGGCCTGCAACCCAGGCATGTGCCCTGACTTGGAATTGAACCATAATACTCTGGTTTGCAGGCCCGCACTCAATCCACTGAGCTACACCAGCCAGGGCCATTTTCTAGTTCTTACTGGTGCCCAAACTCTCCCTGACTTGGCCATTGAGAAACCCTTAAAACCAGCTTCTCTGCCCTTTTCATATGATCCCACTGGTCTGTAAGCCCTACATGGAAAAACTGTAAGAACGAGATAAGTATAAAAATGGTGAGCTTTCTTCGATGTAAGTACTCAGAGACTGAAAAAACTTTTAACAGTAATGATGAGAGACTTCCCCAAGATGGAGGCGTAAGTGGAAGCACCGTTCCTTCTCACACAACCAACTTTAAAAACAACAAAGTTTTAGCAACAAAAACGCAGCCAAACCACAGAAAATTGAACTGGCAACATGGAAGACAACAATGAACCCTTCAGCCAAACCAGTAAGAGGGGCAGAGCCAGCAGCAGGGCAGGGTCGGGCAGGAAAGATCCACCAGACCGAACCGGCGCACAACCCAGGTGCTCTGGCAGCCATGGGTGGATCCCAGGTGTAGAGAATCGGGCAGACCCACTGAGGGCTGATCTCGGTCACACATTCGCGCGCAGATAAACCGGTGAAGGAGCCAGCAGTGAGACAGACTGCAGGCCCCAGCAGCAAGAAGTGGCAGAGGGAACCGCCATTGTCCCTCTCTGACTCTGCCCCTACATACAGTGCCACAAACCAGCGACCTGTGTGGCCCCGCCCTGGTGAACAACTAAGGCTCCGCTCTTCATACGTAACAGGCACAGATAAAAACATGGCTCAAGAACAACTCAGGGCCCCAGAGACGATAAATCTAAGTGATGAAGAAACAGCCAGCCCCCCCCCCCCAAAAAAAAGAAACAGCCAAACTTTCAGATGCATAGTTTAAAACACTGGTGATCAGGATGCTCACAGAACTGGTTGATTTCAGTCATAAATTAGAGGAACATATGAAGGCTAAACTAATTGAAATGAACGGAAATGCACAAGAAACCAATAGTAATGGAAAGGAAACTGGGACTCAAATCAATGGAGTGGACCAGAAGGAGGAAAAAATGACCAAAGAGAAAAGGATGAAGAAACAAGAACTCAAAAAAACGAGGAGAGGATTAGGAACCTTCAAGACATCTTTAAACGTTCCAACATCCGAATTATAGGGGTACCAGAAGGGGAAGAGGAACAGTCATGAGTGGAAACCTTATTTGAACAAATAATAAAGGAGAACTTCCCCAATCTGGCAAAGGAAATAGACTTCCAGGAAATCCAGGAAGCTCAGAGAGTCCCAAAGAAGTTGGACCCAAGAAGGAACACACCAAGGCACATCATCATTACATTAGCCAAGATTAAAATGAAGGAGAGAATCCTAGAAGCAGCTAGAGATAAGGGGACAGTCACCTACAAAGAAGTTCCCATCAGACTGTCAGTGGATTTCTCAAAAGAGACCTTACAGGCAAGAAGGGGCTGGAAAGAAGTATTCCAACTCATGAAAGGCAAGGACCTACATCCAAGATTGCTTTATCCAGCAAGCTTTCATTTAGAATGGAAGGGCAGATAAAGTGCTTCTCAGATAAGGTCAAGTTGAAGGAGGTCATCATCACCAAGCCCTTATTATATGAAATGTTAAAGAGACTTACCTAAGAAAAAGAAGATAAAAAAGATGAACAGTGAAAGGACAGCAAACTCACAGTTATTAACAACTACACCTAAAACAAAAGCAAACTAAGAGGACAGCTAGATCAGGAGCACAGCCATAGAAATGAAGATCACATGGAGGGTTAGCAACAGGGGAGTGGGAGAAGAAGGGGGGAGAAGGTACAGAAAATAAGTAGCATAGACAGTAGGTAGAAAATAGATATGGGGGAGGGCAAGAATAGTATGGGAAATATAGAATCTAAAGAACTCGAGACACGTGGTCATAAACTAAAGGGGGGAAATGGTGGGGGAGGGGGTGTACAGGGTGGAGGGGAATGAAGGGGGAAAATAGAACTGTAATGGCATAATTAATAAAATATATTTTTTAAAAAACAGTAATGCTGAGGTAGTTACCTCCAAAACATAACTGATTGGTTTTCCAATCAGAAAGGGTTTCTTGAACATGTCATGCATGCTTCTGCCTCACAACTACAGAAACTGCTGTTTCTCTGCCTAAAATACTTCCCCTATTTCCCTACTTTTCCTTTTTCATGAGTAACTTCTTTCTGTTATTCAGGTCTCAGTATGTCACCTCCCAGAGAGACCTTTACAGATTAACCAACATACAGCAGCCCTGT